CACCTTGTGRYACCCAAATYGTCTTGTGAATTGGAATTTGCAGGGATAAATCAGCTTCTGCACATTCCACGACTCCTAGAGAAACCATTGCTGCAAGTTCTGTTAATGTCAAAGGTGCTACAGCCTTTGAAGTTGCAGGTATGCGGATTTGATTGAATGATTGTTAATACAGTTTTCTAAAATTTCACAAAGCTTGACAAATTAACATTTCTGATGTGAAAGTTGGAGTCTTTGTTGAAATAAGATCCATTGATTCTCAAGTTGTTGTAAAAGTGTAGAATGGGGTTTTCCTTTATTTGGCCAGTTTCATGTCTTAATACATATGGTGTGAGTGCTGTTTTTGTTCATAGGCTTTAAGATTATACTTTTGCCTCATGAACTCCTGTGGACTGCATCTCATTAGGATTATCCGGGGCGCTCTTTGCTTGGTCAAAACCAATTCTGGTTAGCATTTGGTCATTTCATCATTTGACTATATGATATTTAGGGGTTTTAGAATTTCTGCATCATTATCCTGCTTATTCTCTTCAGGTGATTAGTGGAATTAATCAGGGATCAAGCTGTGGGCATCAAATGTAAATGCTTTTGTCTAGTATATAACTGGTTGTTCCTTGTCTYTCWTTTTGCTRTYTGTGTCKTGATTCAAGAATCCTCCAGGTTCTATTCAGGTGCTGTTGCTGGAGCCAGGGAAGCTTTGATTTCTGGAGTACCCTCTTTGTCAATATATTTGAACTGGTGAGTATATCGTTGGTTTGTATTTCTAACAAAACTAGTCTCAAAAACTGATTTTTGGTTCGATTTTTGGTATGCTAAGGACATGTTCTATGCTGGCATTTGCTATTATACTTTTTGATGTTGTGAAATTAGAGCCTCATCGGCCAATGATTTAGGYAAGTTGACGTTTCGTGTACATATGAATAGGGTTTCAAGGTAACAAAACAAAGTACGTGGAAGCAGAGTCCTAGTTGGCAACTCAGGGAGCGGCTCGCCGTTTTACCACTCAGAAGAAGAGTATTGTGGAGATTGAATCTGTTGTTGTTGCTGGTAAAACCGATAGCAGTGTTAAGAAATACTTCCGCCTAGAGGTAAAGAAAAATGTGAACCGTACTCTTCACAAACCCTTTGGATGTTTTTACGTATTGTAATATATGTTTACAATTTTATGAAACTTAATAAATTAGTGTTTTTGTAGAATGTTGTATATTTATATACACTAATTTCATTTTATTTCTTTTTTTTTTTATATATATAAAAATATTTTTTTAATTCTATAGAACCCTTAATGAGTATCACCATTAAACCTACAAAAATTGAAAAAATCATTAATGAGTATCAATGATTAAAAAACTAATAAATTTAATATTAAAGTAATCTTGTTGATACCCAAAATGAATCACCAATAATGATGCTCTATAGTATGTTTTATTAAGGGAAAATTGGGAAAAAATACATTTTGACCATATATTTGTCAATCTACATCTTTTTCAAATTTACCTATTTTTGACTAAAATAACCCTAACAAAATCTTTTTATATATTTGGAAAAATATTTTAAAGATATTAACAATTAAAAACAGGAAACACACGACATATTTTTCCCTAAGAATTTTCACGAGGTAGAAGGAGAAAGGTTTTGTGTTCATCGGTTCCTTTCTTGTTTGGAGGTAATTACTTCCCTTTTGTTCTTTGTTCATTTTTCCTAAATGTCGTTCGTATCTCTAATATGTATTCTTCTCTTCTACCTTTTTATTTGCTTACAAAGTGTAGAATCTCTCTA